TCGCCCCTCTGTTCTGTAGCTCCCCAGCTGTCTTCCCTTAACCATGCAAAAGGGTTCAATGGCTACAAAGACAGACTACAAAGTCATGTAGGACAGTAGCTGGAAAGAAAATGGAAGGCAAACCTTAATCCTGCTCATCCTGGCTGACATGGAAGCTCTCTTCCAAATATGCTTGAAGTGGTAAAGGTGGTTGTGACTTTGTAGGCAATTGCTGGTTTTCCTGCAGTTACATATCCGCAAGGATATCAATAAATAAACACTTAATAACTCTCTATAAACAAATGTTCATTTGTGACCTTCATGCAGTCACCTGCAGGTGTCAGGGAAACGTAGTTTCCCTGCTGCACAGCTAGCTAAATGTATTCTGTTGTGTGGCATTTTCCATCTTCTTCAGAAGCATCAGTGTATGGCAGCAGCTAGGCCTGACGGCTACACAAACTAAAGAGAAGCGAGGGTGCAAGAGTCAAGGTGAGTGTGTCTGGGGGACAGCACAACAGGGGAGGCTCTCACACTTCTGTAGAAGCACCATGGTTTGGAGCTTAGGTCTCATGCCTGCACACAAGTGCACACAGCATGGGGAAAATTCACGAGGAGTCAGAAGTCCATGCGTGGTTGCAGAGTGGACCTCCTTGGGATTACAGAGACATGGTGGGATAGCTCTCCTGACTGGAGTGCTGCAACTGGTGGATAGAAGCTTTTTGGAAAAGACAGGGTAGGAAGCCAAAGAGGAGGCTAAACACCTGCTATACACCGACACGGAAGAACTGGTTGAAGATGTGAGGGTCGAGAGCAGCCTTTTCTGCACCAATCATGGGACTGTAAAGTTTAAGATCCTGAGAGGAGTGAGCAATACATACAGCAGAATTACAACCCTGGACTTCCCAAGAGCAGATTTTGGCCTGTTCAGGGACCTGCTTGGGAGAATCCCATATGAAACTGCCCTAAAGGGCAAAGGAGCTCAGGAGAACTGGTTGATCATCAAGGGGAACTTCCTCAGAGCCCAAGAATGGTCCATTACAGTGTCCAGAAAGTTGAGCAGGCATGGCAGAAGGCCAGTGTGGGTTAATATGGAGACTGAGCCAAAACACAGAAAGAAAGCTCACAGAAAGTAGAAACAGGGACAGGTTATTTGGGAGTAATGCAAGCATGTAGAAATGCGGTTAGGAATGCCAAAGCTCAGCTGGAGTTGGAACTAGCAAGGGAGATGAAGGGCAGCAGGAAGGGTTTCTGTAAAGACACTGGTAGCAAAAGAAAAGTTAAGAAGAGCATGCACACATTAGTCAGTGGGGAAGGAGACCTAGTGAAAAGTGATAGGGAAAAGGCTGAGGTTCACAGTGACTTTTTTTTTTGCCTCAGTTTGCACTGATAGGGTTTGCTCTCAGGTCTCCCAGGTCACTGAGCCTCTTATCAGAGTCCAAGCAGTACCCACAGCAGAGGAAGATGAAGTTAGGGATCACTTAACCCACTTGGACACACAGGACTCCATGGACCGGAGCAGATGGGTCTGAGGATGCTGAAGGAGCAGCCCAAAATCATTGCAGGGCTGCTCTCTGTCCTCTTTGAAAGGTCATGGCAGTTGGGGGAGATTCCTGATCACTGGAAAAAGGCAAACACCACACTGTTCTGCAAGAAGGAAGCAAGGAGGATGGTTCAGGTCAAGCAGCCTCACCTTGGTCCCTGGGAAGGTTATTGTCGTGGTTTACCTCCAGCCAGCAATTCAGCCCCACACAGCCACTCACACACTTTCCCCTGGTGGGATGGAGATGAGAATGGGAAGGGTAAAAGTGAGAAAACTCATGGGTTGAGATAAAGACAGTTTAATAGGGAAAGCGAAAGCCACACGTGCAAGCAAAGCAAACCAAGGAATTCATTCCCTACTGCCCATCGGCAGGCAGGTGTTCAGCCATCTCCAGGAAAGCAGGGCTCCATCACACATAACGATTACTTGGGAAGACAAATGCCATCCCTCTGAACGTCCTCCTCTTCCGTCTTCTTCCCCCAGCTTTATATGCTGAGCCTGACATCATATGGTGTGGGATATCCCTTTGGCCAGTTGGGGTCAGCTGTCCCAGCTGTGTCCCCTCCCAGCTTCTTGTGCTCCCCCAGCCTCCTTGCTGATGGGGTGGTGTGAGGAGCAGAAAAGGCCTTAACGCTGTGTGAGCTCTGCTCAGCAGTAACAAAAATATCCCAGTGTTTATCTGCACTGTTTTCAGCACAAGTTCAAAATGCAGCACCATATAAGCTACTATGAAGAAATTTAATTCTATCCCAGCCCAAACCAGGACAGTATCCACCCCTTATTCTATACCATCTACATCATGACCAGGTCCCATACTTTCCACTACATTCCAATTAATCACCACTGCTTTTTCTGTATTTTAATAGATACACACAGATATCATTCCCTTTATCTATGGACCACCCTTGTGAAGTGTCTGTAGAATGTCCATAAATGTCCACAAAATGTCCATTGAGTTAATTTAGTCCATGACTTTGGGATCCATCTTCTATGGTGGTCACTCAGAACAGGAGAAGTGGCGTGTTGCCTGGAATTACTGGGCACCAAAGCCAGCTCAGGTTGGTCACTGCTGCACTTGCACTGCTTCTTGTAAGGCTTGTCCTCCAATGGTTCGGGTGGTTCCTGCTATAGTAATTCCTGTAACATGCAACTCAAATCATGGGTTACGAGAGTTTAAAGGTATTTCCATTACAATCTCCACTCCTGATCCCTTTGGACCAGACCATCATGTTTGTATTGGGTCAAGCTGCATAGCGCTGTGCTTTCTATTGGTATGTAGAAAGTGGTTAATAACACACCAATGTTTTGGCTACTTCTGAGCAGCGCTCAAACAGCATCAAGGCTGTGTCTCCAACATTCCCCCACCACCACCAGTGGGCTGGAAGGGGGCAAGATCTTGGGAGGGGATGTAGTCAAGACACCTGACCCAAACCAACCAAAGGGATATTCCATACAATATGGACGTCAGCTCAGATATAAAAACTAAGGGAAAAGGAAGGGGGGGGGGAGCGGATTTGTCTTTTATGATGTTTTGTCTTCCGGAACAACAACTATGCATACTGAAGCCCTGCTTCCTGGGAAGTGGCTGGACATCGCCTGCTAATGGGAAGTAGAGAATAAAATCTTGTTTTCCTTTTGCTACCGTGCGTGGCTTTTGCTTTTGCTTTTTTTTATTAAACTACCTTTATCTTGACCCACAAGCTTGCTTTCTTTTCCATCTTATTCTCTCCCCATCTGTCCTGCTGAGGAGGGGAGCAATAGAGCAGCTTGGTGGCACCTGGCATCCAGCCAAGGTCAAACCACCACAATGTTTAACGTTGCAATGAACTCCTCCCCTTGCCCCTGCTCTGGCTTGGACTTATCCACAGCCTGCAGTCCCGCAGGGGTGTACCTGCTCCAAGTGGAGCCTTATCTATGAGCCACACTCTCTCCAGGGGAGATGCCTGCTGCGGCATAGACTTATCCACAGCCACAGTCTCTTGAGGTGCACCTGTTCCAGCGTAGCCTTCTCCTTTGGAGCAAATCCTCCTAGAAGCTATTTCCAGGCATGAGAATGGCAAGAAGGTGACTGGGAGCAGTCAGCATAGATTTAGCAAGGGCAAAGGACTATGACCAACCTCATTGCCTTCTCTGACAAAGTGACTGACCCTGTGGACAAGGTGAGGCCAGTGGATGTTGTATACCTTGGCTTTAGCAAGGCCTTTAACACAGTCTCTTACAGTTTCCACATAAACAAATATGGCCTGGATAAGTGGATGATAAGGGTGGAAACTTGGCTGACCTACTGATGTCAGAGGTGTGATCAGTGGTGCAAAGTCCGGCTGGCAGCTAGCATATTAGTGGGGTCCCTTGGGGACTGTGACTGACCAATAAACCCCTACAATGAAAGAAGGCTCAGTAGAGATGGCCAAGGGCGATGTGCCTGTGAAGCTCAGAGAATAACGCAGGGTGTGACTGATCACGGGTGGTTGCAAAGAAGCTGACTTTGTCTCAACACAAAGGGGACCAGAGGATGGCTTTTGTTGTAGATAACTGGCTATGGCAGTTGAATGGTTCAGCTGGTGGTGTAAATTTTTCTTTCTGAATTCATTAAAAGAGTGCGAGTGTGTCCTTGAGTTAGGCAGACTAGCATGGGGGGAGTGAATACCGGGCTCAGCCCATCATAAAATATAAAAACTAAACAACTAACAAAAGAATTTTGAAGAGAGAAACGGGCTTGAGCTGGCTTCAACCCAGGTATTCCTTCCTGGGGACTGGGGATGCAGAGCATCATGATGGTGAGCATAGTATAGAGACTGGTAATGGGAATAACACTGGGATTGTGATTGAACAATTACTATATTTTTCCAAGTGTAACTTAACATTTGTATTGTGTTTTCAGTATATTTTGTATCTTCCTGCTAAATCAGAATTCCCGTGAAACATCAACTATCTTCAAATAAGTCAAATTGATATTAAACATTATACCCTCCATGCATGGAATATCTAAAAGAACCTGATCAGAGAAAATTGGACTCTGACAGGGATCAGTACTGGGACTGTAGTGTTTAAAGTCTTTATTAAAGACCTTGATGATAGGACTCTCAGCAAGAGTGCAGATGCCACCAAATTGGAAGCAGTTGTCAGTATGCTGAAGTGCATGGCTGCTATTCAGAGGGACCTAGACAAGCTGGACAAGTGGGCTGACAGGTACCTCGTGAAGTTCAACAAAAACAAATGCAAAGTCCTGCACTGGGAATGGAATAACCCCATGCAACCATACAGGCTGTGGCTGGCTGTCTAGGAAGAAGCTCTGCAGAAAAAGACCTGGGGGTCCTGGTGGACAACCAGTTGACCATGAGCTAACAATGTGCTCTTGTGGCAAAGCAGCCTGACAGTGTCCTGGCATGGGGGTAACATGAGACCACCAAGCTGGCTGAGGCGCTGGCACATGATGTGCAAGGAGAGGCTGAGAGAGCTGGGTCTGTCCAGCCTGGAGAAGAGAAGGCAAAGGGGAGACCTTATTGCTTTTTGCAACTACCTGATTGCAGGATGCAGAGAATACAGAACCAGACTTTTCTCTAAGGTGCACAGGGAAAGGATGGAAAGGCACAAGTTGGAATATGAGAAATTCCATGTACATATTAGGATTTTTTTTTCCCCCAGAGCGTGGTCACACTCTCAGGCAAATTGGCCCAGCAAGGTTACAGGGTCTCCATCCTTGGAGGTGTTCAAGGCTCAGCTGGACACAACGCTGGGCAGCCTGACCTAATTAGACCTGCTCTGAGCAGGAGATTGGACTGATACCTCTGGAGGTCCCTTCCAGCCTAAATTATTCTGTGATGCTTTTTTTTTTTTTAAGTAGAGCATCTTCTTTCCTAGAAGCATTACAATACACTGCATTGACTATGAGGTTTGGGGAATGATCAGGGAAGAGGAAGGAGAGGAATTTCCCCTTCCAGGTTAGTTTGTTTGACATCTTAGATATTGATTTGCTTGTGTGTCTTGTGGGGGGATTTGCTTATGCCCACAGCCTGTCATACAATTTTCGTGGGCACATCTCTCTTTCCTTCTTTCCCTTGCTCACTACCCATAGCGGGCAGCAGGCTCAGAATTAAGAGTCCATCAGCTTAACTAAAATTTCTGTGCTGAATATTTTGCTGAAAGTTAATAGTCTCAGCACAACAAAAAGTGAGACTTATACAGTGGGAGACAAAGGTAAAGAGAGGCTAGTTAGTTGTTTGGTTTAGTAACTAATATTCACATGCACAGTACTCATTTCTGTAAGGACCATTGTATTTATACTTGCAGAATAAAGCAATGAGACATAAGCTTAACACAGTTTCTAATCATCACAAAAGCTTTCTTGAAAAACCAGACTCTTAGCAGATCTTCTAAACCACTGTGTCAGACTTGGCAAATGTAAGAGAGAGGATGTACATTGGAGCTTTCTCCTAAGGAAAGGAGATTTTCTCTTTAAGCATGTTTTATGCATGTGCTTTTGTAAACCAAATCTAACAGCTAGTTCCTTCACAGTAGACTTGTAAATCTTTTTCTGGGGGAATACAGTCACACAGGAGCATTGTGCGTCTGTTATTATATCACTAGAGCCATGGTGGTGTCAAAAAACATACCTTTATATATCTTGGAAAACGTACCCCATTGTGCTATTGCCTTTGAAGAACACTTGATGTTAAAACATCTCCAGAACCTATTGTACAAACTCTACAAGGCTGCCTCCACTTACTGCTCCACTGATAGGGACTATATAATCTTCTTTGCCTTAAACCGTTATATGCTCAGCACCCAACTGTCCGACTTAACAATGGCAACTTGTCAACTGTTGACCTCTGCAGATCCTTCAGCTCAACTTCCCTCAAACAAAACCGATTTCTGTTTGCGTGGGTGGTATAAGCAAGAGTATTTTAACGTGTTCCCTAGACTAGGTGACCTAACCACGCTCTCCATTATGCAGTGGTCTTTCTGCAGCTGTGACTGCAGGGTTAAAAGTAACCGTCAGGGCCCTGGCAGCATTTACCTCCCACCCCAAGAAGCCCAGCTGCCTGGACACTCGGCCAATGCTGATAAGCAGCTGCCTGGCCTTGAACAGAGCTCTCTCAGACAAAGCTAGCATGTGTTTCTGTGGGGGCTGCCCCTGCTTCTTTTGGGAACTGTGTTTAAGCCAAGAGTCTAGTCCTGACCCCCACCTGAGCTGGGCTGCAGCTGCCTCGCAGCCGTGCCTGTGCCTGGCCGCTGGCAAGTGGCGTGCAGTGGTGGCTACTCACGGGGCTATGGCTTCTCTCGCTCTCCAGCTGCTGCGCTGCATTGCAGGCATCAGGGAGTAGCGAGAACGGGAGCTGGCGGTGCCGCACAGGAGTGAGGAGAGCCAGCCGTGAGCCACCCCACCGACAGGGAGCCCCGATGCAGAGTGGCAAGTCTGGGTCGGGATCAGGGCTAGAGACAGCAGTCAAGGTCAGACACAGCTCAGGGCAGGTGATGGGGCAGGTCTGAGTCCCAGCTGGGAAGCAGAGCCGCTGGGTCTGAGTCAGGGCCAGGCTGGCGAAGGTCCGAGACTGAGCATGGACATTGCTGCCCAGCGGCAGTGTAGCACCAGCAAGGGCTGGTGGTAAAACTGCAGTTTAAAAGCAGTTTCCAAAGGAAAGAGGGGGGAGACCCTCACATCCTGCTTTCTTTGCAACAGCTCTGGTTGGCAAAGGAGCTGGTCTTGGACTCAGACAGCTAAACTCTTTCCAGCCAAACACCTAGAAGGGGGATGACATCAAGATGCTGTGGCTAGTAACTTTGTTCACAGCATTTCTGTGCCAGGAGTCTGTGCCGTCATCGTGAGGGGTTTGTTTATGCCTTTCCTTACTTGGAGGAGAAGGAAAATTATGAATGACAAGGCGAAGCAACGGTGTCCCCCATTCACATATATTTGTATAGCATGGCCTCACACTAGCCCGTGACATGAGAATCTCAGCTCCTGCCACTTGTTTCTTACTCCAAAGCTACTTTCACTCCTTTGGCACTGCTCATGGCTTATGTTTGCCTGGAGCTCTTGCTTAATGTTGCCTGGATTTTCTTGAATAGCTTTCCAGAAAGACCAGATCCACCTTCTTTCTGTAGCGAGTGACATGACCAAGCTTCAGGCCTGAAGCAACCCAACTGCCACTCATCTTGCACTTGTTGTAGCATGGTGGTTTGTGGGAGCAAGAACAGGACACCTCTGGCTGATGCTGATGCCTCAGAGCAACACAGGAGGTTGGTATTCATAGTCACTGCAGCTTTTATGGGTTGGTCCCAACAGTCAGCAATGAAAATACACCACAGTGTTAGGACTGGTGGATCACCACTGAGCTATTCAGGGAGATTCTTCCATTATGAAGATGAAACCTATCCTGCTGACAGCTCCCAGGCTGGATTTCATCCACAGGTACTTCCACTCCCTTTTTTTCTCAAATAAGCTTCCTACTGCCTTGGGACATCTCCTGTGCCTGACAGAACCCTGGCACTGTGCCTGTGCTAGGCTTCTAGAGGTAGGAGCCATCATGTCCACCACGGCTATCCAGTGCATCCCCAGCAAGAAAAAAAAGGAAGTTGTACTGCATGCAAAAGAAACTCCCAATAAAAAATCCAACAAAAGAGGAAAATTTAAGCATATGACCCCAAAGTACCAGGCTGATCAGATGCCTTGGCAGTCATACCTGTTCTTTAGTTTCAGTACATTTTTTTAATAGAAGAGAGGTCTTCTTTTCAGCAATCTCAACTTTCCACAAAAATAAGCATACTGTCATGGAAAGCATACACTTTTTGAAAAGGTTAGCAGAGTCAGCAACCACCAAACCCCATTTTGACATAGTTTTCATCCACCCCCCTGGTTGGACTAGCAGGAAGTCCCCAATTAGAAGCTTCTTTTGCAGACCAGCCAAGTCTGGCAAAAAATCACTCTAGCCTTCCTTAGTGAGTGGGGGATTACCCTTACCCAGACTTAGTTATAAAATCCTAGCCCTTTGCCATGTGGACCGTTCCTACAACCTCTGCAGAATCTAGAGTCACTGTAGCTAAAACTCTCCTTCGTCAGCAAAGACTGTGCAAATTTCAGCCTATGATTCATGACAAAGTCTGTTCAGGAATATCTGGCTTGCTTTCTAGTCACTGTTTTTGTTGGCTTCATGGTGGAAAAGAATTTTAATAACTGTCTTTAGAGTCCTTTATTTTGTGCATTACATACCAACCAGTCTTTTCATTCATCTATTCAATTCTTTCTAGACTAGCAGTTCTCTACAAGTTTTCCTATTTCAAATTGCCATTTATGAAATATTAATTCCTTTGAAATCAGTAATGATGAAAACTTCTGTTGTGGTTTAACCTGGCTGGCAACTAAGCACCATGCAGCCCTCTGTGGGATGGAGGAGAGAATCGGAAAAAGAAAAAAAAGTAAGACCTGTGGGCTGAGATAGAGACAGTTTAATAAGAAAGAAGAATAACAATAGTGATAATAATAATGGTAAGAGAATATACAGAATATATAAAACAAGTGATGCAAAATGCAATTGCTCACCACCCGCTGCAATTGCTCACCACCCACCGACCGATGCCCAGCCCGTCCCGAGCCGCGAGCAGTCCCCGAGCTGCGAGCAGTCTCCCTGCAACCAACTGACCGACTAATTCCCCACGAGAATGACGTTATATGGTATGGAATAGCTCTTTGGTCAGTTTGGGTTAGCTGTGCTAGCTGTGCTCCCTCCCAGCTTGTTATGCACCTGGCCGAGCAGGAGAAGCTCAAAAAGTCCTTGAGTAGTCTGAGCACTACTTGGCAACAACTAAAAGCATCAGTGTGTTATCAACATACTTCTGGTACTAAATCCAAAACACAGCGCTGTGCTAGCTACTATGAAGAAAATTAACTCTATCCCAGCCGAAACCAGCACAACTTCTCTTTTCTCTATTGCTGCCCACTGTGGGAAGCACTTGCATTGGAGAAACTTTTCCAGAGGAACTCATGGTATCCAGGGGATGTATTAATTACACAGGCAATGGACTGCCTACAGCTTCTACTGACGTTCTGCCCGTAGGTTTGACAGGGGATAACAGACAATGCCAGAGCTTATGATCATGAGTCCTTTTCTTCTTATCAGCTGTGTGCTGTTCCACAGGTGAGCCAGTTATGGGCAGAGCTGCCAATCATCAATACTTCAGACGAGAATCATAGAATCAGAAAATCATAGAATCGTTTAGGTTGGAAAAGACCTTTAAGATCACCAAGTCCAACTGTTAACCTAACGCTGCCAAGTCCACCACTAAACCATGCCCTTAAGAGCCACATCTACCAGTCTTTTAAATACCTCCAGGGATGGGGACTCCACCACTTCCCTGCTTCAAGCTTGTCCAATGCTTGATAACCCTTCTGGTGAAGAAATTTTTCCTAATTCCTAATCTAAACCTCCCCTGGCATAACTTGAGGCCATTTCCTCTTGTCCTACAGCTTGTTACTTGGGAGAAGAGGCCAACCCCCACCTCGCTACAGCCTCCTGTCAGGCAGTTGTAGAGGGCGATAAGGTCTCCCCTCAGCCTCCTTTTCTCCAGGCCAAACAACCCCAGTTCGCTCAGCTGCTCCCCATCAAGCAGACATTTAAGGAGATATTCACACCATCTAAGCTAAAGAATCTTTTCTAGACTGTGCTTCAGCTGGACACTCAGGGGGCTAACACAAGGAGCCTGAGAGAGCTGACTGAAGCACGCTGTTCTGTGAAGTTAGGCAGATACAACATTTTGATCAATATTCCTGTGAAATGAGCTGTTGGATGAAGTTCCCTCCTCATCTCTGCAGCCTCTGTCATGACTGTTTCACTGTACTTAGATTCTGGTGTCATTGTTTTGGGGGTTTCACTTCCCTCTTTCAGCCAAAGATAGAGCCACAGAGGCCCAGCAACAACATTACTACATTACCAAATTTACTAACCACATACTAACGTTCATGGCTTGACTGCTGCTTGGGACACCTTCTATCACAGAAGGCGGAGGGGTCTGTTAGAAGGTCAATGCAACTGGGCTAATCCTTGCTGTAAGGGTTGTCTCAGGGAAGAAGTGCTCAGTTCAAATAATTTAAATAAAAAACAGGGTCAAAGGGGTTTAATTAACAGCACATATTTCACCGACAATCAGTAATCTATACCTTAAGGATCAATATTGGTGATACAACAGATAAACCACAATACTAGGCACTTACAAAATCTCAATAACTGCCTACACATTTCTGAAGACCCTTCTATTACTAATTTCAAGAAATTCTAATTGCACACACATGCAAACACACACACAGAGTCACACAGACATGCACAAACCTCTCCTCTTGTAGGACAAGCAACCTCCCCAACCTTCGGAAAGTAAGGGTTCCCCTTACTTGTGCTTATGTTATGGACCAAGCAGGTTGCCTGGCCTAAGCAGGAGTCAGGATGCCGGCAGGGTGACTTCTGGCAGTGCCAAACCAGGTTTTGGCTGCTGCTGTTTCCAGTCTAAGGTCTCTCCCCTCTTTCTTAAAAATTTTCATGCTTCTCTTGTACTTCTTTTCATGATGCTTCTTTGTTTCGAAAACCTCCTTGAAATTCCCTAATTACTGTTTCATCTGGGTGATGATCACATTCCTCTTTAACACAATCAGTTTTGGGCTCCTGCCTTCCAGATAATTTTTATATTTCATCCACACATTCCCTGTGCACTCATATTTTTGTTCTAACAGGTGAGCTTCTTTAGGTCATCTGCCAAGGCTGGGACATAAGTACCCCCAAAAGGTGTAAATCCTCCAGGTAAGCTTATGTCAGCCAAGGGGGACTTTGTGTCAGTAGAGTTAAACCAAAAAGCAAATTTTCCGATACAAGCGGCATTCTCATGGTTGTTGGTAGTAGGAAAAGAGAAGGAAAATTTTTGTCTCTGGATCACATTTCTCTCAACCTGTCAGAGCAGAGGTGCTAGGGAAAACTTTGTAGTGCAAACTCATTGAATGAAGCAATGTTGAAAGACCCTGCGTGTGGAAATAAGAAGATTAGGGAGCAAACCCTCCCTGGAAATTCATTTAACATAACGTTTAACATCTTGTTAAATGATAAGCACACCTTTGTCAGGCTTACAGATCGCGTGAAACTGCGAGGAGCAGTTGCTATGCTGAGAAGTAGGCCTGCCACTCAGAGGGATCCTGACAGGAATCTCATGAAGCTCAACAGGAGCAAATGTAAAGTCCTGCCCCTGGAAGGGAGTAACCCCACGCAACCATACAGGCTGGGGCTGACTGTCTAAGCAGCAGCTCTGCAGAAAAGGACCCAGGGTTCCTAGTGGGCAACCAGTTGTCCAGGAGCCAGCGATGTGACCTTGTGGCAAAGAAGCCCATTGGCATCCTGGGCTGCGTTAGTACGAGTGTAGCCAGCAGGACCAGGGGAGCGATCCTTCCCCTCTCCTTGGCACATGTGAGACCACGTTTGGAGTTCTGTGCCCAGTTTTGGGCCCCCCAGTACAAGAGGGATAACGAAATACTGGCACAAGAGTAATGGGAGACCACTGAGCTGGCTGAGGCTCTGGCACAGGACATGTGAGTAAAGGCTGAGAGAACTCAGTCTGTCTAGCCTGGAACAGAGAAAGCAAAGGTGAGACCTTATTGTCTGTTCTACTGTGAAAAGTGTGGAGGGAGATGGTTACACAGACGAAGGAGCTAGACTCTCAAGATGCACAGGGAAAGGACAAGAGGCAAAGATACACAGAAGAGATATTCCAGTTAGATATGATGAAAAAACTCTTCCCTGTAAGGGTGGTCTAACACTGGGATAGGTGCCCAGAGTGGCCGTCGGATCTCTGTCTTTGGAGTTACTCAAAGCTTGACTAGAAAAGGTCCTCAGAAAAATCCATCTAACCTTGAAGATGGCGCTGCTGTGAACAGGAGGCTGGATGACCAGACCTCTGGAAATCCCCTCCAGCCTGAATTATTTTGTGATTCTATAAGGAGGGGAGGAGGAGCGATAGCAGCTTCCACCCTCCATTAAAGATTTCAGCTTGAAACCTCACATGGGTTGAAACTGCAGTTGAACGAACACAGGCGCATAGAGAGCGGGACAGGGTGGAAAGGACATGCTGTTCTTATCAGCACCATCTGGTCTAGTGTGTTCTGCATTGTTGTACAGGGGCTGATCCTTCAGCACTGCCTATTGCCTCCTCCAACACCACATCCACATCTGGTCCCCGCTGTGCTCTATTGCCTCAGGCCTCATCATAGCTTTTTATGACCCTGTGGGATAATTGCTGGAGGTGACTTAGAAATTAAACTTCTACTCACATTTTAAGGAAAGGTACAGCATTGAAGAAGCTTCCAGGGTGGGGCGCAGCTGACACGCAAGGAATCCATTCGACAGAATTTGCCCAGGCCTGCAACCTTATATGTTAGCAACACCAGGGGAACTTGGTGGGCTGACTCTAAGAGGAACTGCACAGAGGGTGGAGCAGAGTGGAGACACCGTGGCCAAGCTCTGTGGTAATATGGGAACTTGAAGGTACCATGGAACTGATAGGCTGCAGATTTGCTACTCCGGGCCAATGGTCTGTCATCTTTTTGACAAAATGCTGTCCTTTTGGTGAACTTTGCTCATTATAATATTGTTATAATACTGAAACACACCTCCATCCCAGAAGCTACCCACCTCCAAGGTGCAACCACCCCTCACTGGGCTTGTGCTTTGAATTTTTCTAGTTTGTACATTTAAAAGCAAAGTGAAAGAATATAACACCAATCATAACAAAGGTGTGTATGACTAGAGTCACTCAAGTTCCACCTGAAAGCTAAAAAAATAGTATAAAATAGCTTAAGAGAGAGAGAGGATATTAGGGAAGATACCATCACGTACCACTCTGATTTCTGGGATCAGTTGATGGGCTGAGTCTCTCTTCCCCCCCATTGGGATGCCTTCGGGTCAGATTTGAACTCTTGGTTATACCAAGTGCCTCCCTGGGAAACTTATAAATCTCTATAGTGTCACTTTATATCTTTTAACACGTTTGTAGCCAGGCAGTGTTACTCATACTCTTGGTATTTGCACATGCTCAGACAGTGAATTTATCACCAGCAATCCAAAAGAACCTGTGTATCTGTTGCTTTAATAAACTGCACTATTCATTAATCTAGCCATGGTAGTTCTCATTGAACATGACCAAACTCTTTAAGCGTGGCCGTGGTAGTTCATGGAATGCGACTAGACTGAAGGTGTATCCCGTTATTTGTGTGTCCGTAATCATGATAGTTCAGTACACTGAATGCGACTGGATTTAAAACGACGAATTGGGCATCACTCCAGATTACTTTAACCTTTAATGCAACAGACCTACCTAGTTGCAGATACCCCGTTTTCTGGGCTTCCAAGTTCTCCTGCTTGCTTGGAAAAGGCCCTTTTTCAAGGCCAGCAACCTTGTCTGCTGCTCTTCCTAGCTAGCTATCTGTCTCTGAACTTCTGAAGGACAGATGGACTGACCTCTGTATTCCAGTATTCTCATTAGCCAGGTCCCTTTTGTCTGCATTGTTCAAGATTAGAAATTTCTTCCTAGCGCTGTAGTTCTGTGCAAGCCCAAACCTTCTAGCCATCAGCTAAAGGTGCTTGTTACAGTGGTCAGCATGCTCTGCTACAGTCATTTCATCCCAGTTGCTCATTTGTTCTATTAGTGGTCTTTACAAACATTGCCTAGTATTTGCCAGTTGTTACCATAAGGCTGAATTCACAAGAAGTGAATTCACAGTGAAGGCAAGATGGCGAGTCTCTTGAGTACCTCAGTCTCTCTTCAGCAATAGCCCCTGCCGTGAGACAGTGGGATGCTGAAAATCTGCAGAAGTTGCTTGCAGCTCTTTGGGCTGGGTAAAAGATTATTACGACTTAGAGCCTGTGGAGTAAGCTGATAGTAGAGGAAAATTATAAGAATTTAAAGAGAAAGAAAAATGAAGCTAATGAAAATGAAGCTAAGCTCCAACCCAAACCAAATGTTTAGACTGTAAAAAAAAAAATATATATATATATCTCCACAGAATTTCCAGTCATAAAGGATGGAAACAATGAAGAAAAAACCATCAGGAATAATAGGGCAGTTTGCAAGCTGGATTGTTTTCCGCTTGTCTGCTAAGACACCATATCTCATGCTGCCAGTCCAAAGCACAAGAATTTTTCACCTGGGTCTTCCCAGTCTCCTTTTCCAGGATCAGCAGGACCAGCATCTCGCATGACTGTGGTACCAGGCTGGAGCTTTTCTCCTCGCTGGATGCCTCCTGGCCCACCAGCAGGAAGAAAGCTGAAGCAGTGGCTGGTGGGCAGGATTGCTGAGGCTGTCAATGACTCAGAAAGTCAAGAGGGATTAAAGCAGCCCTTTTGAGAGGCACAGCTGCTGGTGAGTTCGTAACCACTAGATGGAACCCAAACACTTTGCATTAATTCACTCAGCAGCTGTAGGGAGTCAATCCTGGCTTTTAGGTGAGGCTGCGGTTCTGGTAGCTGAGTGTCAACACCTGCGCTCAGTAGCATAAGGCATGTATGGAAATACAGTTAGTGTTCCCAAAATATGGGTAATTCATTCACTCCAGTGAGCAGGGACACTGAATATTTTATGTCCAAACCATGGAAATGTTGCTGGTTCCTACTGCGTGGCACAAAAAACTCAAATGATTTGATGAAGAGCGCTGGGATACATCCTGCATTAGATAGACCACCAGCGTGTGATTTTGGGTAAGTCATTTAACCTGACTGTGGCTTGGTTCCCCTATCGCTAAACTGAGTTTTGAAACTATCTGCCTTGAAGTGTGCTGAGTGTCCAATACATTATTCTTGAAATGATTTAGTACACTTAGTTGGGGTACATCATGCCAATACACAGTGGCAGACAAAAATGTGGTCGTTCTCTACCACAAATTCTGCACGCTGCTGTCCTCCAGGTTTCTGGGCAGCAGGAAAAGGAGACTCCAGGCATTTTCTTATGGCCCACTGAATACAACAAACTAAAGAAGAGCTATCGCTCATTTCTGAAAAGCTTTGTGTGTTTAATTGTTATTAAAGAATAACCAGTATTACAAAGCCTAGAGGCCCCAGGCAAGATCAGGTCTCTGTTGTACTGTGTCTTGTACAAACACAGAGTAAGAGGAATTCCTTCCCTTAAGCAGGTTACAGTCTTCATAGAAAAAAATGTACCTGGGGACAAAGAAAGCAAGCAGTGCCCTAGTAAACGCAAGCAAGCCATCGCTTTACGCAAGGGAATTCAGAGGGAAAAGAGTAGCTCAGCAGCTGGTGTAAAGCTGACATAGCACCACTGATGCCATGAGTTTACAGCATTTTATACCAGCTGAGGATATGCCCAAGGTAGGTGAAGTGTCTTTCTTAATGTCATATTCAAAGCCTAGCCTGGAGTTGAACCAGAGCTTCGGAATCCTAATCACAAGGCTTTCCTTTTCATGCGCTTACTTTCCCACAAGACAGCTCCTGGAAGAGCAGCTTGCTTGTCTCAGATCGTGGTCCTCAAGGGCTCAGCTGAAGCATCATTGCACCTTGCTGGGATTTTAGATGGGCACACAGTGACGTGGAGAAAGACTAGTTCAGATCTGAAAAAGAAGAGACTGAAAAATTGTAATTCATGGTTTTAAAGGAGTATCAGGTGGAAGGAAAGTAGAATTCTCGCTATTACCAAGCAAATTTTAAAAATAAATGCAAATTCAAAGTGATGCATGATGATTAAATGCTGTCTTTTTTCACTGTACACAGTGTGATATATTGCTGCCTAACCTTTTATCAGATAACTGAGTTGTGTATTAATAGAATATATTGGTCCAGACGAATTAGTGGCCTGTAAAAGTCATAAAAGATTATTTTTCCTTACCTGCATTGGGATGATATTGTGACTATATTAATAGCAGCCATGCAGCACAGTGCAATGTGGAGATATTTCGTTTCTCAAGACATATGGGAGGCAGATGGCTCCAAAATATTGCTCGACAGTTACTTTACCTTTCAAATAAAAAACCCACCAGAAATAACTGGTAACTATTCTGAGAAATGTTTGTAAGGTATCCAGATGAAGATTTAAAAAAAAAAAAAAAGAACCATTTTTATCAATTTGTATTTATAAACAAAAGGCACACCAAGAAACCAGTGAAAGTCGCCAGAATATTGAAAATGGAGCAGGAAAACCTGCTCTGTTAGTAGGAGACTAATGGTCCCTCTGGTCTACTGTCCTTCAGAGAAAGAAAAGCCAAATCTCCTACATGTTGCTGACTGCCAAAAGCGTGCAGGGAAAGTGGTAGGGAAGTTGGTTCCTAATTTAATTTGTTCATTATATGAAATTAATGAATTGATGGTGGAGCAGTCCAAAACTGTAACTTAAATGTTTGTAGAGTGTTTAGTCTTTTAGACTCCCAGATGCAGACTGAGGGTTTAACAGGAACAGTTTACAGAACCTAATTAGAAGCCAGTGAAGTTCTCTTTGGAGGGGTTCAACTAGGAGAGTAGAACTCCGGGTAAGACATTAATGGGCCAAGTTAGTACCAGTCACACAAAAAAGATACAGAAGAAGACAGAGGATGAGTGCTATACAAGCAGCAAGCCAGTCATCCTGATTCACAGACCATGCTAAGGACATCGCATTTCCCACTTCTGACAATTCTTCCCATCTGTGCAGCGTTATTAAAGCAAGACACAAAAATTTTGCTTTGCAATGCTAGTGACTAGAGGAAGATCAGTCAAATTAAGTTCTTGGATTGAGAAGAGGTTGAACAAGGTGGTTTTGTTTTGGTTTGGTTTGGTTTTTTAATCGAAGGCTTGCTCTGCACGTGAACTCTGAATTTCCTGGCTTTGGTCAGTGCTCTTCTCCTTGTTTCACAAATGCTAAAAACCGAACAACTCCATCCTCCAGCTCTGGGGAAAAAAGCAGTTTGCCTCAGAGACCTTCTTCAGTCTTCTTGGAAATAAGAACAGAAATGAAATGAAGAAAGCAAATGACTTGTGAAAATAGAGTAGAAGGGTTGTTGTAGCAGTCTCAGCATAAGAAAGAGGCTGTGCTTGTAATGATAAATTTTATTAATCTGATATAAAGTGGTAGAACTTTAAAACAGTAACTAACATTTTAATGACTCATTGCTGATCCTCTTAAGAGAGTAAGTAATAAATGCCTATTCAGCTCTTACCTCGCTTTCATAAAACTGTGTTTTATACTGACCACACAGAAATGCTGTCTTCCAGATTGAGACTACTGACACGCACTCACACCTTGTGCTTAATTACAAAATCCCTGTGGTCTTGGCTGGAGACAGTTTTCCTGGACTTTGGGCTTGATTATCTTCTGTGATATGCAAGCATCTGCTCATCGGAGGGTACAAGTCTGTATTAAGAAAAGCTGGTACTCATGTGCAACATTCACAAGTGATTAAGGCTTTACAATTAGTTTAATCCTATTCCATCTATTCTGGAATGGTTCTGCCTCCAGGAAAGGGCAGCTAACTGATTTTCATTTTCCAAATAGTAGTTTAACAAATGACAAGAAGTTTAAAAATTAAATATAGGATCATGTGTTTCTCCAAGCAGACTGTACTCTCATGCTTGGGAAGAAATTGGAAATTGCATGGGAGTTACATGCTACTACAGTGCGGTCTTACCAGCTCCAGGATGCTTTCCCTTCCAGCTCTGAATGCCTGCAGAGACAAAGTGCAAAGATGGTGAGTGCTCGGAGCAGAAACAGAAAGGGGAGTGAGATAAGTTAGTTTTGGTGATTCCAGCAAAAATAAATGGGGTGGATTTTGTCAAGCTTTTTTCTATTTAACTGTCAGTTGTGATTATAAGCCAGAATTCACAACGCTAGTTGACATTGGCCTTTTATGCACTGTGCAGCTTCGTCTGACTAGAGTAGGACCAGCGGCAAAGCTCTGTAGGAGGGACTGAGTTCAAGGAGGTCTGCATGATGCCTGTGCTCCCCTAATGTCCATGATCAATATAGTTGTAGATGATACAACCGAAGGATCCCGGAGGGTGGCTCATCCGACCAGCCATGAAGTGACTTCTTTAGGGTGAGATGAATTGTTCTTTAGGCTTCCTTGACTGTATTGATGAGCAGTGCAATTCAGTTTCCCAATTCCAGGCACCTAGGGCCACCTGAGGTGTCATGCCATATTTGCCAGCTTTCCAGCCAACGCTACAGAAGGTCACTGTGTCTCCCACAGACCTTGTGCCATATCCACCTGCCCCAGTACTCTGTTCTCTCAGGCTAGTTAGGGACATAGACAGACTGACAGATGCATAGAAGTTGGTGTCTTTATCTGGAGGCAAATTTCCACCCTCTTCCACTCTAACGTTATGAGGCCAACAACATCTCGGAAGTCCAACCTTTGCCTGTAGAGCAGTGATGCTTCAAGTCAATAGCGTTGCACAGTTGGTGTGCAGTAAGGCCACAGAGTGACAGTATCACAGAGGAGCTCTGTGCTTCCCTAAAGGTTGAATGAACAGAAAGATGAATAGAAAGAACTACCTTAGACCACTGACTCAAGTCTAAAAAACTCTTAAAAGCCCCAAATCTTTCTCTCATAAAATATGAAGCATGGTTGACTAACAAAGGCAAAACTACAAGCTTTGGTCTGAATCAGATAGCATAAAAAATAAAAGGTGGTCCATAAGTTTTACTCTGCTGTGGTGACTGATGGACAACAAGAGTGGTAATTGTTTGCAAACCAGTCCTGGAAACCTCTTGACTGTTCTGGGATGCAGAAACTCAATCGGTGGATGAATGCAGCAGTAATCAGCATTTTACCTGAAAAATATGACCAACACTCTTTTAGTTGAAGACTGAAATTATAAGGAGCATAAATATGGTGAATTAATGTAGGAGCATATGTTAGAATGGACAAAAAGCTGAAAGAGAAAGGGAAAACATCACGCTGTTGACAGCATTTACTCTGGATTAAAAGGCAGTGATGCTTTTCAGGCATGGAGGAAATCACCAAGCCAGTGTAGTGTAGGACAGATTAAGGTTGTGGCAAAAAATTGGAATCAGCATTTGTAGTTTTTAATCTTCATGCAATTTTCCTTTAGATTTGTTCATCACTTGGACAGGTTTTTACATATATTTATATACCTAAATATCTAAAGATGTGCTTAGAGTTGTTTTCAAGAGCATTTAGATTTCTTGCAAATCGTACTTAGCATTTCCCGCAGCTGTGAGCATCCCGTGGCTAAGCGGGAAGGTGTCCTTGCTTATTGTTTGTCATGTGTAGCGCAAGTCAGTTCAGCACCTATTAGCACTACAAAGAACCAGCCACCCATGGCTGCACCCATACCAGCAATTTAAACAGTGTCAAGGAACATCCCCAGCTATGGGAACACAGTCACCTACCCCATTCAGTCATTAGAGCGGTCCTTGGTGGGACCTTTTGGTTTGTACCAACCAGCATGCTCCCGAGCAAAGCCTGGGCATGGTTCAGGAGTTAACGTGGGCTAGGGACTACCCCTCAAAGGAGATTGGGGTGTAACCAGGCTGATTTGGAGGGGTGAGCTTACTAGTGAGGTTTTTGGCTTTCCCATGCCGGTTGGCAGGAGGGCCAGAGAACTGCCTCAGGGACACTACGTTTACCCATATACACGTTACCTGAGAGTACCAGATACAGTCTGGATGCACTGGCTAATTAACCTTGCTGGGAACAGGAAGATATTATCCCAGTTAAATCACTGCTCTAACAAGGTTGCAGCACCTCCATTATCTGCAGTGCCCTGGGCATGTCCAGATGTCCCATCATGACAGGCACTGGCCAGATGCAGATTGTTTCTACCTGCCCGTGGGCAGGAAGGCTTTGCATCCAGCAGTTTCCCTCACGGCTGGCACTATGTGCCAAGGTAGCATATTTTTTTGCATCCCATCCATG